TAGGTGACAACTGAAAGCCTAACAACCCATGGTTTATCTCATACAAATTTCCTGTTCTGTCCCAGATTTATATATCTTAGCAAATGAGCCTAGCTGTATCTCCAAAGCTATTTTACAAAGCCCTACTATTACTCTGATTTTGTTGTTTCATCAGTTTCCAGACAACCAGTAATATGGCAAACACATTCACATGCTAATATGGCCTCAAGGACATACCTGAATTTATAGTCAAGTAACCACACTACAAAACAAACTTTCTTTTCTCCTAAAACGTGTTGCCTTTCTTATACCAGGCTTAATATTCAAATTACTATTGCATTAATCATGGATAGTCTCTAAGATATGAAAAATTAGATTAAAAAAAAAATTTCTTACTCTCATCCATTAAAACCTAGACATCAAACAAATGTTCAGATTCCGTAGTGTAAACTGCACATTAATATGTCTTCATTTAAGACTTTGATAACTACCTATAATATAACTGATTCCCAAAGTGAGGGCACAAATCCTTTGAGAATTCAGAGGTCTAAATTATTTTTGTTCTCCTACACCATGCCTTCACCTCTGTCTTTGCAACTATGCCTCTCTCTCTGCCTAGAGTTTGAGAATGAAACAATGTCATTCTTTTCAAATTTGTTCTTGGCCATGAAAGGCTCAATATACGGTAAATTTCTGACATTGAGTGATTTTCTTTTTTTTTTTTAATTCTTCACATTTTCTTGCAGGAATATGTGCATGTCTAAGATATTGCAATACTCTGGCATGGACTAACAAGAAAAGGAAGCTATAAGGATAAATGTGCTTGGAGAAAGATAAAGAATATGAGATAATCTAAAATTTGTATAGAAATGTGAATACAACACTGTGATTAATTTAATATGCAAAAACAATTGAGGAAATTTTTTGAATATAAAAATAGGAAAAACAGAAAATCTTGGACATAGGCAAAAGAGATTTCTGGGTTTTCTTTCAGTGGCATGCCAGTTGTTGCCTAAGAGACTCTGGGGATCATCCGATGCTATTGGGGTGTATACCTTTTAATGTCCTTGACTAAGCTATTAATAGAAGTTAACTTGCAGAAAACTGAGAGTTACGCACATTCTTCATGGTCAGAGCAATGAAATCGTTCTAATTCAATGCTGATGGAAATACATTTCAACTGGTAGAGCAGCAGTCCCCAATGTTTTTGGCACCAGTCACCAGTTTTGTAGAAGGCAATGTTTCCAGAGACAGGGGACAGGGGCGATGGTTTCAGGATAATTCAAGCATGTTACGTTTATTGTGTACTTTATTTCTATTATTATTACACTGTAATATATAATGAAATAATGATACAACTCACCATAATGAGAAGTAGTGGGAACTCTGAGCTTGTTTTCCTATAACCAGAAGGTCCCATCTGGGGGTGATGGGAGACAGAGACAAATCATCAGGCATTAGATTTTCATAAGCTGTGTGCAACCTAGCTCCCTCCCGTGTGCAGTTCACAACAGGGTTTGTGCTCCTATGAGAATCTGATGCCACTGCTGATCTGACAGGAGGCAGAGCTCAGGTGGTAATATGAGTGATGGGGAGTGGCTGTAAATTCAGATGAAGCTTCACTCACTCACCCACACTTTTCACCTCCTGTTGTGCAGTCCACGGCCCAGGGGTTAGGGACCCCTGTGGTAGAGGATATAAATCTCTGTGATTCAAATCTTTATTTTACTAATTTTAGACTCTTTCTGGTTCCCTCAGTAATCAGAGTTCAAAGTTGACATATGCATATTTTATATTTGTATGAGAACAATGGTTTTAACATTTTATAAACTCAACTTTTACTAAATAATGATGACAATTATGTCTGTCGAGAATAAAATAAAAATTAAAAAAAATTATGTTTAGTCCCTAATATGAAAAGTTACTATTTGCCAGATCTTGTTACTATAGACAGTCTACATCATACTTATAAATCAATTACATTTAAGAAATTGTGGCTTGAATGAATCAAGTATGTTATATTTTAACACAAGTGATTGTCTATATTAGAAGCAGATTTCCTTTTTCTTTATTTTGCCTTGGAGTATCCTTTCATTCAGTTTCATTTTATCCTACATTGTGCTCTCACAGTCTTCATTGCTTTGGTAGATCTGTGTCTGCTTTTGTTGAGAGGACTTGTCCAAGAAGGATGAACAGTGAGTGTCAGTGTCAGAAGACACCAGGAACGTAGTGCAGTGTGGATTGATCTAAACTCAAGTTGGCCTAGCAGATTCTAATATAAACTGCACATTGTACTGTTCTTACAGTTTTCATTAAGACCGAGTAAACACAACGTTAAATAATGATAATAATAAAAGTAGTTATCTTTTCTGTAAATTGGAAGGGGACTATAGAAAAGGGTGAAATGCTGACAGGTGGTCAGCAGTAACTCTTGGACAAAGTAAATACGGGTGACTGAAGCCGCATGAGACAATCCTCGGACGAATGGAGAACAGAAGCCTGGTCAGAACACTGTTGATGCCTATGCAGATAAAACAGAGAGGCAGGAAATTTCAAAGGGTAGCCTCAGGTTTTCTTGAGCCAAGCATATTTAGACTTTATTTTTGTAACCTCTTTTGTTTCCATTAACTGCTCAGGGATAAAGAACAATCCTTGAGATTGTAACAAACACCTGAGATGTCTCCCGTTATATGTGCGCAGACCCACAGTGGGAGGAACTTCCTAGACCTGTGATTTAAATCAAATAGTTTGTATTAAAAACTTTCTCCAATAACTAATAACTTTCCCTAAAGTTCTTTTTCTTATCCATTATCAAAGTTCCTAACTGCAGCAGCAGCTGAAGTTAAAACTAATATAAAAATTGCTTTGTTGATTATTTTCCTTTCTCTTTCTCTCTTATATTTGAGCAGCATGAACAAATTTTACAATTTTCAAAATATGTATTGATGGATCCTGGCAGCATTCACCTGAGGGATAAGAATAAGAACATTTATGGAATAAAATAATTTAAGAAATTCAAGGCTGTGTGCAAATTTATGAAGCTATGTAATATTTTGCTTCATGAATACTTCTTTAAATATTGTCTGTGAAAATATAAAATAAGAGCAAGCTTTTATACCTTAAATAAACTATCATTTTGGAAGAATGTTTATATTTAAATGTAGATGTCTTAAGGAAGGATTTATCTTAGTTCCAAAAATTAAACATATTAAATTGCATATAATGGGTAAGACATTGTGAACTAAATTCTGAGGTAAGCTGCCTCATGTTTTATGTGGAATACCTTTCACAGTAGTTTTCATGTTAATACCTGGCAAAATGTTTTTGTAATTTGAAAGCAATAAACATTATTTACAATTTATGATCAAGTTATTCATCTATGCACTCAATGTATTTTTAGTGAGCTCTACTTTGGTCCAAGCATTTTTGTTCTGCCTATGGGACAGGGCAAAGACAAAAATGAGATTAGAAAAACATGTAGTCTAGGCTGGGCAAGGTGGCCCACACATGTATTCCCAGCACGTTGGCAGGCCAAGGCAGGTGGATTGCTTGAGCCCAGGAGACGAGACCAGCTGGGGCAATAAGGTGAAACCCCACCTACCTCTGCAAAAAACACAAAAAATTAGCCAGGTGTGGTGGCATGTGCCTGTAGTCCCAGCTACTCGGGAGGCTGAGAGATGGAAGGATCCCTTGAGCCCAGGAGGTCAAGGCTGCAGTGGGCGGAGATGGAGCCACTGTACTTCAACCTGATTGACAGAGGGAGACTGTCTCAAAAAAAAAAAAAAAGAAAAGAAAAAGAAAAAGGAAAATAGGTACTCCTCACATAATTCATGTAGAGACAGACATACATGCCCCAACTATTTTTCTAATTCTACTGTGGTTTGTACATTAGAAGAATGAAAAACAGTGTACTATGAGGCCACAAAGAAGGAAGAAATTAAAACTAACAAGGATAACTTGTAAAGACTTCAGGATGTAAGGGGAAATTATCTGAACGATAAAGATAGGTATAAGTTTATTGAACAGAGATGTAGGGAGGGAGGGTGAGTACGCACTAGCCAGGAAGAGGGTACACCACAGGGACAGAGGCATAATCATACACAAGGAGTAGAGAGACTAGTATGAAGTTCAGGATGACTGGAGGGTTTCGTAAGTATATTGTACATATGAAATGTACGTGTGGGATAGGTGGCTGAATGGTTAGATTGCTGAGAACGTCGCATGCCAAAATAAGGAATACTGATAAAATTAGTCCACAGTGGGTAGGCACTAAAATTGTTGGTCCATTTTGAAGTAATGTAACAGAGCCTCACATTTGCATAAATAAGAGGTTTATGAATGTGGTATTATTGTCACAAAAATGAAGGACTAGTCCAATAACTCAAAAACAGTAAATGACAAAGTTGGTAGTAGAACCTAAATCTTGCCAGTACATCAGTTCAAGTCTAGCCCAGTTACATATAAATTGGAAAAGTTTTCTTAAATATCAGGCATATTATTTTGGCTTGTATTTTTATCTTCCAAAGAAGGTTAAAAAAAATATTGCCTGGAATAAATGTCAAAAAATCATTTTTATATGTATTGTTCCAGAGATATTCAATGAAGTATTAATTTCAAGTTTTTGCACATAATACTATAATAGAAATATTGAATAATACTGACAAGTATGTTATGACAAATAATAAAATCCATTTTAACTATTTTTAACAGATTCTCAATTATATAGAAAGAAAGGTCATGGAACTCAGTATCCAAACTAAATTACTGAAATTTTCTTTAAACAAACAGTGTGTATTTAGAACACGTTTTCTGTAAACATTGTACTCTAGGTCATTATCTTTCTATACTAAGAAGGTAACTCCTGTCACAAATATTATACATTTTATGCATAAAAATATCTAAATATATGTTTTAGTTTTACATTTTATGTGAGAGTCAAAAACATTCTAAAGAAAGGCATCTTTTAAAATTTCTTAAGCATTTACATTTTTCTACAAAGTCTACATTACACTTAGGTTAAAAAGAAGAATGAAAACCCCTCAAGCCAGAGTTTATGACTTTTTATGTCACACTGGGAAAAGTCAAGTGAACTACAGATTTGAACCATGGAGATTTGTGCCCTACTACGAAACGGTCAGTATTATGAAAACTGCCATTATACTTTATGATGCTATTTGACCTCTACGTAGGTACTTTCATTATCTGACAATAATATTCAATTTGCAAAACTAGCCCCAGTCATTTAAAGCGCTCAGCATGCAGGAAAGCATTAGGCATTTTGTATTGGTTTTTATAGAGGGCCTTGTAGTGACCAGACCGGTACCTTCCATTTGTCTCTTTTAACAGTTGGGTTGCTGATCTCACAAATCATATTTCGGTTGGAAATGAAAGGTGCACCGCTGCCAGCATTTTGTTAGAAATAATGACACACTTTACTACCTGTAAGTGCTGACTGAGTGCTTCTGCCTTTTCTTCCCAAGGTGACTGTAACACAGATTGATGAAAGATTCTGCAGGACGACAAAGGTTAAAGATGCGGACCCGGAGCTAGAAGCCAGCGCTGACACTGATGGAGTGGACTGCGATGAGAATGCCCACATTATGGTCCTATCCTCTGATAACCAAGGTAATATGAAAACCGACTACAGAAGAAAGGAACAAATTAAATCCATTAATCAAGCATATCTCTGCTAAACAGTTGTTCGAAACTGATGAACAAATGAAAAATTTACTGTTTGTTTTCATGCTTGCAAGGATTGGGGAAGAAAATTAATTATAAGGTACTGGCCACACTATTAGTTAAGTTTTTCTTGAGGAAACTATTGCCTTGTCAAAGGATGAATGAACCTCATTAGGGAGATTAGTTTCAGCTAGTAGTTTTGCATTAGTACAAACTAATAATACACACTTCAAAAGATACCCTGAGTGAAATTATGAAAATTGAAATCCATTTGTTACTTCTTAATTTACTGTGAGAAAATGACCACTCTATTACTTATCATGAAAGCAGAAGGAAATCAAACATTGCTCACCTTTCACCTAAGTGCCTGAAAGAAAACTGTTCCAGTGTGGGCTTTGTGAGTGCTGCGATGATGAACTTACGCATCCAGGAGTTATAACTTGGCCACGGCATTTTACTCTTACGTTGAAGCATGTCACGCGGAACTCCATGCCAAGCGCAGCTTTTGATGAGCTCCTTTGAAATCCTTTTCCTTTCAAAATGTTTTAAATGACCTGGACAAATAGCAAACTGACATCTGATATTCTGAAATTCCCCTTAAATCTATACAGTGCAAGAACAGAAAAGAGAAAACGCTACTTTGCTATCAATCCTGTATGGCCAGTGCACTGAGGCTCCTTAGCTGGCCACAGTGAGTGCAGTCCGGTTTCAATGTTCATTTAATCCCTGGCCTTTCTGTCAAGGCAGCGACGAGCAGGGGCAATCACTGCTCTGGATGACGGGGAGGGCTTGGCTGCAGGACAGGAGTCGCCAAACCTGGAGGGAGACCAGGCTCATTCCAAAGAGTGTGTAAATCAGCTGTGGAATAACAATGACTTCTTTGGGTTCTACTCACCCGGCCTGGATTCAGACTGCTGACCCAGAAAAGAAAGGCCTCACACATCCCATTACCAGTCCTTTGAGCCATTGAAGACATCCCCATCCAATTCGGACTTCCTTTCCTTTACAGCAGTCTTGCTCTTTTTTATGGGCATGTAACCAAATTGATGTTTACTTTCTGCTTTTGTTTGGTTCCTTGACCTAACTTCTCTCATTTAACGGAAGGTTTCCCGGCATAGTGTTTGAATGAATCAGGCCAAATGACGTTAAAGTTCACTTCCTCAATGCTTAAGCTCTGTTACTGAGAAAAGATGGGGGTAGAGTTTTAAAGTATTCTTCTTAATGTAAAACGAAACGTTTTTCTCTAGACATATTGTCTCTTTATATTTTTAAAAGCCAGCATTATTTTTTTTTTTTCAGGAAAATTCGGTCAGTGTATAACAGTGATTCCACCGTTTACCCTGTTGTCCTGGAGTGGGTAGGAGATTTCAGGACTAGCTAAGGGTTTTTTTTTTTCCAAAATAAGTGTCCACGTTGAACGAAAATTACAGGTTGTATGGGACTGAGAAGTTAGACAATATAAGGGCTCTTCTAGTGAAAAAAATCCAGATTTGCAAATATTAAACAGATGTCTTCGTTTGAGTTTTCCAAAAGCAAATTCCAGGAGAATATGAGCACGATTTGCTCATATGAGAAGTGATTCCAGAAGCACAACAAAATCATGAAGTGGTGACATGGAGAAGGAAGACAGCCAACAGAAGGGTCACAAACAATAGGGAGTACCACTCTGAGCAACTGGGGCTCACTCTTGCTGTGGGGCCCTCTGAAAGGCATTTTAGACCACACCTCAGGATGCCAAGTCAAGAGACAAATGCTGGAGTGTATACCACTGAGGCTTGTTCCTGGGGGTCACAATTTCCCAGCATTTCCAGCCTTCTCTGTCTTTGCATATGTTCATGGGGGGTGTATATTCACGCAGCAAGAGAAAACCCTAAGGAAGGGAAACGCTAAGGTGGAAGCCATAGACATGTCCAAGAACCATTCAGCAAAGCCCCAGTTGAGCTCCAGTGTAAGTTTAGGGTGGAGAAGGATACTAGAAAAGTGTGACAGCTTCTCCACTAGATGTCAGATTGAATATTTAATTAAATAAATCACAACAATCACAAATTTTAAAAGATGGCAAATATGGTCATTTCATACTCACCAACATGAAGGTCAGTATGACAAAGGAGAAGTCAGGAGAGGTGTGATAACAGGCCCCACTGACTGCTGCCAAGAATCTTATTGTTGCAATAGTAAAATAATAATAATAATAATAATAATACCATATGAACACACTGCTACAGTCTTTCTCAGTGTCTCAGAAGAGATCTGTATGAGAGCTCCTCAAACGTGGGCTTAAAAACCTTCTTGGTAAATTTCCCATGGCTGCTATTACTGAGTTTCTCTAATATCCCATGTATGTGTCACCTTGAAATTAAGTTGAACATCACTTTTCAAAGCATTTCTGAACAACAAGAATAACAAAAATGAAAATTGGAAAAATTACACAAAATATTTATTTTAGTATATGCATATATTTATGATAATTGATAAGCCATAATTTTTTACAGCCTGATTTATTATCCCAGGCAGTACTGACATTTTCAACTAAAAAAGTCCTTTGGTCGGAAACAGGGGGGCCTGTCCTGTGCATTTAAGATGTTTACAAATATTAAACAGATGTCTTAGTTTGAATTTTCCAAAAGGAAACTCCAGGAGGAGAATATGGGCATAATTTGCTTATATGAGAAGTGATTCCGGAAGCACAACAAAGCCATGAAGTGGTGACATGGAGAAGGAAGACAGCCAATAGAAGGGTCATACACAATAGGGAATACTATTTTGAACAAAGTATCCCTGGCCTCTATGCACTAGATATATGTACCAGTACTGCTGGATACACATCTTCCCCAGTTTAAAGAAATAGAAGAAAGTTTCTAAACATTGACAAATGTAAAAAAAAAACAATAAAAATATCTCCTGTTAGAACCACGATTTAGAAGAGAGAAAAAGTTGCAAACTAGAGATCTGGTAAACAAAAACAATTCTGAGATCTTTTTACGTTCAGTTTATCTGCTTATACACCTTATATCTCCCTCTATGCTACTTATGGATTTAGAAAAATTCTCTAGTTCAGTCTTTTTAAATATTCAAACAAGAATATTATTGTGTAAATGAGAAAATGTTCTTAATGAATAAACCATAAAATATTTGTAAGGATATCAAGAAATGAAGATACTTTAAGAAGCTACCCATCATCCCACATTAATCGACATTCCAGAAAACAATATCTCCCACATTTAAACAATTCTAAAAGAGAAGCCAGCTATCCTACTGATTATTCACATTTTAAGTACAAATGGTAGGCTTAGTGCAATGTTTAATATCTCTGTGATACAATATAAGACTGTTACGATATGTGACATGTATATAAAAAGTATTTCATATAAGATATTGACTAATAAAAATAGTCTTTTTATCTTCTGCAAAACCATAAGTGTATGGGAAAAAATTACATTAAGCTTAAGTAACATTTAAAAAACAACTACAGTGGAAGGATCACCTGAGCCCAGGAGGCAGAGCTTGCAGTGAGCCAAGACCATACCACTGCACTCCAGCCTGGGCGACAAAGTGAGACCCTGTCCCCTCTAAAAAACAAAAAAGAACAAAAAACGTAACTACCATGTTCTATAAAACTTTCCCAAGCTCTTAAAAGTAAGCACATTTACACTTTTTGCCCTCAAGAATAAACAATCAAGTAAAGGAAGAAATACAGATTTGTGGATTGTAGCAACATAATTAAACTTTACAGTGCCAAATAATGCTATTTCTCCCTAATAGTATCCTGCCATAAGGGATCCTTGGAGATGTTAAGAGGTGACAGGAAAAAGTTAAATAATTTAAGGCAATGGAAAGCATAGTCTCTTCTCAGAGACATACACATTGTTATATAAAAGGCTCTGGAAGGTTTGTCAGAAGAAATGTATATTAAAGTTTTTCTAACCCAACATTTTACAAGTAATTTGAGCAGAGAACGATTCTCTCACAACAAGATCAAGATTTGTTGGGACATCAGATCAGAAATAAATGTATTAACGAATTTAATTTCCACTGAAAGATGAGAATACGCATAAAGAGAGAAATTCAAATTTTAAGTGGACATTATAAAATGGGGAACATTTTTCCACAGAGGAATGTGGATGGAAACCACCAAAGGTATAAGAAATACCAAGAATAGAAAATGCTGGTCAGGCTGGGCACTGTGGTTCATTCCTGTAATCCCAACACTTGGAGGGCAAGGAGGGAAGATCACTTGGGGCCAGAAGTTCAGGATCATCCTGGAAAACGTACCAAGACTTCACCTCTACCAGAAATGTACACATTAGCTGGGCACGGTAGCATGTACCTGTAGACCTAGCTACTTAGGATACTGAGGTGGAAGAATCACTTGAGCCCAGCAGTTCAAGGAGACAGTGAGCTTTGATCAGGCCACTTGATTCTAACCTGGGCAACAGGGTAAGACCTTGTATTTAAAAAAAATAAAAAGTAAAAAATAAAATGCTAGTTATATTACGAAACAGCCTGACTGAGGTCTAAATGCCTGCAGAAGGCTGTTTCAGCAAAGGTAACGTCCCAGCAATGCAAAACGAGTGCTCTTCTATGCCACAACTTGCTTGAATTTTAAAGAAGGATGTTGATAAAATGTATATTAATTAAGGAGATAATTGACGTAGTGTGCTCAGTACAAGTTTTGGCATATTACAAGCATTCAATAAACCCTATATCTTATTATAATTAAAATATTAATACATATTGTCTAAACATCACTACTTTTTTTTCCTGGAAAATAGGGCTATAAATACCTGGAAATCCTCACAAAGGTATTACAAATCTCAGGTGATCCGCTCTATGTGAAAGTGCTGGTAAGTGGAAAGTGCTACCTAAGTGCAAAATCTTATATTTTATTTAAAGTGCTACTAAAGTGAAAAATATTATGTTTTATTAGAGTAGTTTGTATTTCTGTCTAGAGCTGCTCCATGGGTCAAACTGTTTTCCTCTTCTACCCTGTATTGTTGGGCATGGAAATTAGACTTTCAGCTGTAGGTTTTACTGAAACGTCGTTTATTGGAAGGGTGTCAAGGTAACTCAGATTTGAAGGAAATCTTGAAGGAACCAGGGCTCTTCTGGGAGCCT